AAGAATGCAGTGCAAAGTTTTCATGAAGGCCTCTTCACTGGTGAGTTCTGGGGCACCACCTCCTTACAGACTTTTTCAGCCCAGATGACCATCATTACACTTACATGGCCTTACATGTCTTACGGCCCTTATACACCCGCGTAAGGGCGCTTTACGGTTTCCTGATGTTCGAGTATGCGGCTTACTTCCGTTGTCGCCATGTGCGAGACCTTGAGATCGAAACGACCATTGGGCCGCATTCTGAGTGGCCACCGACACCCGAATTTCTTGTAGTACTCGAAAGAGTAGCGTCGGTTCTGAAGCACTGCAACAATTTGTATGCACTCTTTCTGGAGCGTCACGCAATCAAATTGTTCAACAACACCGCGATCATCGAGGCTATAGGCACCCTCCGATCCATTCACGTTGTGTCTATTGCCGCGGGAGGCGAAGAATTCGAGAACTCCGAAGCTACTCCATTGCTGAGGTCGATTTCTTCTCCAACTGCTGTGGTGTCTTTGTTCAATAGCATCTGCCCGGATCCGAGTGATATGGTTTCTGTAAGCGGAACTTTTGCGCACATGTCTTCATCGTTGAAATGCCTGGATCTCGGATTGTCCGTGTGGGATCCACAGCCTGACATCGTCTTTGACAAACTCGTGACATTGTCTACGAATATCATGGGGGACATTCAAGATATCAATACCGCCGTGCTATTTCATATGTTCCCCAATCTTCAGTTTCTCTCCTTGGAATACAGCGGTCTCCGGCCGCCAAATTTCGAGGAGCGTACGGAACTTTCGCGCAGGATGAACGTGCAAAGCCAGCGACGCCAGAGCTGGACGAACCTCCATACAGTTCGCGCAGAAGTCTGTGTTCTGTATGCCCTTGGATTGACATGCCCCGTTCGACACGTGGAGCTCATCGATCGTCTAAGTAGCGGGGTAGATTCGTCTGATATGGATAGGTGGGCAACCGTTTTGAAAGACTGTAACGCGACCGCTGCCACCGTCCAAGTCGCCACCCAAGACCGCAAGCTCGAGCGTTTGCCTTCCATCGTCCCGACTACTCGCACTATCACCCGCTTGATTTTGCGAATCCCCATGCGTATTCCTGTGCACAAGGACATCATAGTAGGTTCCTCGTGCTGCTCGTACTTGCTGTCTCCGATTCAATTCTCTGACACAATGAGCGCAGAAGAATATCATCAAGCTCACCCAAGCAACTCCTCTGACATATTTTCACCTTATGCTTTCCTGGGACATACAGGGACATACAATGGGGGACATCCGGCGCGAAAGAAAGCGAAACGAGGCTGTCATGAGGTATTACGCCTCGCTAGAACCCATCGACATGGCCAGGACCTTTGCTATATCCGCACCTTCGCTTCGCACCATCGGGTTCCATAACGCAACGATGGTCTGTATTGGCGAAGAGCCTATCGACACCCAGTTTGAGATAATAAGGAGAGTCGGCGAGAGCTCCGACGGGGAAGGGGACACGGGCAATGAAATTGAATTGAATCAGATTTTAGATGAAGACGCGTGGTGTATCCGTGAAGAAACAATGCGCCGGGAAGGCATATTGTCTCTTGAATACGTTACATGGAGAGAATACAGCAAGGGTGAGTATGGAGTTGCCTGGTTGATTGGGCCGGCGACAAGTGACTGACCAGGCGGAAAATGTTACAGTAACCCCTTATGACGAAGAAAGCTGAAAGCAACCTGCCGGTCAGTGATACAATAGAAGAAGGTTCGATCTCTCAATCGCTGAGACAACCATGAACTCCATTACATATCTCCTACGGCTACCTACCGAAGCATGCGGGAGGGTAGTCGACGAGCTGACTGTAGAATATTCAATTGAGCGTTATGCATAGATGTCATTAGCATGATTATCCTATTGAGAGGAGTGGTGATATATGCGTATAAATTAGCTGCACAGGGGATATCTATGTCGACGCACTACAACAACCAAGAAACAGCACAACGAATACATCAGTTATGGCTTTGCGCTGTTCGACGGTGTTTCGGACGGTGGAGGTGCTGATGCAGATGGTTGTGCTTGTGGCTGTTGTGCGGGAGCTTCTGCTGCTTTCAATTCTGCTTCTATCCGCTCCTTTGCCCGGACGACTTTGGATTGAAGGTAGTGTGAGTGAGCAGGGGGTAGTGGATGTCTCTTTCCTGGTTGTGGCTTTGGAAGTTTGGATAGGTCCGGCGGTGAATTTTGTTTGAATAGATGTTGATAGTGCTGCGAAACTTGGGTGAATCACTGCAGCACTGAAATGATGCGTGAGACTTACTTGAAGTATCTTTTCTGCCGGGTCCTCCTTCTTCACGTTCAGGATTAACCGTGCCTCGTCCAACGTCATCCGGTGTTCCCGTGTCAGCTTGTCTGTTATCGACCCTGAGGTGGCATTCCGCAGGCCAGCAACATCACCTCCGGCTGCTGCGTCTGGCCGGTATTTCGCATCTAAATGATACGCACAACCGTGTCAGCATGATATTATGTACCCGTATGCTCAACCCACAACTCACTTTGAATAGCCTGCCTTCCAGCAGCAAATAACGCTTTGCCGAGGATCTTGCCACCGGTTAGCGCTATTTGGACGATGATTTTTGGGGCGGACTACAAGCAGTTGTCAATTAACACCAGCGAGATCGTACAAGGCGTAATTCACGTACCATTATGAGGGAATAAGGATAATAAGGGAGAGATTCGTGTCAAGGTGAGAAGTGTAAGCAGCAAGAAGCTGAAGGAGATGTGCCGAATCCTGACGCGCCAGTATGCGAAGCCCGACCACGTGCGCAAAAATTCCCTCTATCGTAAACGCCCACAAACGGTCTTCACTTGCTTTCACCTCCTGAATCCTCCACAACTGACCGGGCTATATCGACTTTCGTGTGTGCGGCAACTTTCTTGTATTTCTTCCCATCGTATGAAAATGCCAGATTACGCCCGGTCACCCCAAAAGACGAAAAAGCGCAAGCACGCGACGGAGGGAGAGGAACCGTCTGCGAAGCGTTCCAAGACGGATTTGGCGAAGAACGAACCTAAGGTGGACAAGAAGGAGAGGAAGGAGAAGAAGTCTAGAGACAAGGGGAAAGCTCGTGCAGATGAGGGGCAGTTCAAGGTCATTAACGCAACTCTGAACGTGACCGTTCCTCCTGTGTTCGCGCAGAATATTCGTGGTGGTGTGCAGGAGATGTTGGATTCTATGATTATGAGGTCTGTCATATGTCATTACGAATATATGTCTTGCGAATTCAATGCTATATCAATTGTAGATATATTCCTGCCGTCCAAGGTGTCATTTTGGCTCACGACGGTTTACGATTCCTGGAGCCCGTAGCGACTATCAAGGCGGACTGCCCGTTTGCAAACTGTCAGATCGCATTCGCGGCGACGGTATGGAGTCCGCAGATTGGTATGAAGCTGGGTGAGTGCAGGTACAATCTATCTTCCCAGTCAATTCCTGATAGAAGTGATTCCAGTCGGTAAGGTGAACCTCTGCTCGCCCGACCACGTATCGTTACTCCTTCACCGGACGTTCAACGTCTCCATACCACGACATCATATACCGACCGAGAATTGGGCGTTTGAATACGGCCCTGCAGAAAATGATCCCGAATTTGGGGCGGAAGCGGCAGCGCAGGAGGGAGACGAGAAGCCAGCTGGTGAGGATGGCGTAGAAGGCAGCGGACGGTGGATACACAAGGTCACCGGTGACAAACTCGGCGGGGAGGATGGGTACCTGGAGTTCACTGTTATTGGGTGAGCACATTTCCTTGTGTACATATCAAATTTCATGTGACTGAATAATTGGTCCAAAGCCTTACGATCGCGAACCAGATGCTTTCGCTCGTAGGGTCCATTCAGCCCGATCCCTTCTCTGCCGAGCACGTCCCAGAGCGAACGATATTCGTAGGCTCGAACCAGCGACCATCATCATCTAAAGCAGCTGCAAATGATGGCGACGCGAACCAGATGGATCCCTCCATGTTCGACGAGACCAGCGAATCCGAGTCTGAACTACCAGATGTTCCCTTGTCTTCACAGATATCTTCGAAAAAGGCGAAAAAGGATACCAAGAACGAAGCCTCCGACGCAGCAGGGAAGAGAAAATCACGGGAATCAGAGGGGGGCGGAGGACCATCGAAAAAGAAACAGAAGAGTTGACCTAAGTGTTGCTCCTATCTATTACAGCATATCCTGTGGTACTTTCTTGTTCGTGCTCAATTTAAAGGATTCTCTTCACTCCCAAGAACTACAGTCATAAGTTACGGGTTATCCTCCAGGTCTGTCTGGAACAACCTGGCAATCCTGCATACCTGGTAGAGACAAAAGCGAAGTGAACGGTTGCCTGTCCTAACGAGAAAAATAAAGATTTAAAGAAAGGCACTGCCAGGAATCGAACCTGGGTTGCCGGAAGGTCTTTTTACTTCAGAATCCGGAGTGATAACCGCTACACTACAGCGCCTTGTCTTGAGATGTAATGTTATAGTTGACAATATATCATACACCAATGCAGGCTTGGCTGGGCGAAATTGAGACGAAACGAACGCGGTCGCCAGGTCGAGTGCGCTCACGACGAGACTGTTGAGCAGCGGCGCTGGAAAGCCCTGTATCAGTGACCAAGTCGGTGACCGCATCCTCCCTCCCCGCCCTTTTGTTTCGTTCTTTTCTCTTTCGCTGGCTGCGCTGTCCTGGTGTGCGCCCCCGACGTCGAACAAACAAACTTGGACGCTCATTTATTCCCCAACCATCCCCCTTGATCGTGACTGCTAGTACACCGTTACTCGACCGCATAGAACTACAGCTATCCTAGTGGACTCGGCGTGCTTAACTGGCCAGGACGTTCACCGTTTTACCAAGCAAACGCGCCCACGCCCGATCCCTCGCAACTTGACATGGACTCCCAGATCGTCCTGGAGAACAAAGTGTGCCCTGGTTGCGGGAACACAGTGGTCACCGAGGATGGCAGTGTTGTTGTTGCATTTGGGTACGTTAGGTTATGCGCTTTGCATCTCTTTTGTGCTTTCTGACCACTTCGACAGACAATCGCTCTTCCACGTCGATTGCTTCAGATGCGCCAAATGCCACAACCAAGTTACTGCCGATACAAATCTTCTTTTGCTGTCTGACGGGTCCCCCGTCTGCGCAGACTGTTCTTACTGTTGTAATGTCTGCGGTCTTCCCATCCTTGACGAGGCGATCATGACTAGCGACGATGCCTATCACGCCCACTGTTTCAACTGCAAAGTATGTAAACAGCGCATAGACGAACTCATGTTCGCAAAGACAAGCCAGGGCATCTACTGTATGCCCTGTCACAATGAGCGTGTAGCCAGAAGTCGCCGCCATCAGCAGAGACGGGAGAAGGAAAAACGAGAGCGTGCAGCTGGCGACGCAGAGTCGGCAAAGTCCAAGGACGATGCATCAAGAGACGTGCGTACTATTTATCAGAGCTCTCCTCCATTCCAACTATCAATGCTGAATCACCAACCCACATCACAGGTTCCTCGGCCCGCAAACAACGTTCGTGGCGACAGCAGTCTCAGTTCACGGTCCAACAGTGTTCGATCCAAGACACGACCATCGACAGGTCGTTCCATTGAACAGAGTCAATCTGATTCCTCCAAGTCTTCCTTACGTCGCGACTCTACCTCTTCAGCCGCCGAGAGAACATACCATCTGCCAACTGCCCCCAAAATCAATCATTCTGTCTCTTCACCCGCTACCTCATCGAGTGCTCCCCCCACCGCCTCGCTCAATGCCTCCTCCTCTTCAAGCAAACGGTATTCTACCATGGGTCCCACTAACCCAGGACTTCCCTCGAGTGCAGACTCCATGAAGCAACAAGGGAATTCCATCGACCGCTCACGCTCCAGTACCTCCCCCGTGTCTCTCAATGTCCCCTCTGACAACCAACTACAGAAGCGGAAGAGTTTCAACGACAAGCCCCTCAACGTCTTACTCAAGGAAACGACTTCAGAGCCTATTTCAAACGAGAATGGCGGCCTCATGGCCCCCAATGGCAACACGTCGCGCAGAGATAAGCGACGATCCATCAATCCCGCATTCGCTCTTTCAGTTGTAGAATCTGTCCATTCCCCAACCGCAGCATCCTTCCATACCGCCCGTTCGGACACTCCCCCGTTGCGTGGGACCGGTCCCTCACCTCGCAGCGACTCTTTAGTCATCCCAAAGACGGTTTCGCCTCCTCCATACACCGACAGTCCCAGGCATCCTCACCCACAACCACTGGAAGATGTCAACATCAACGGGCGGTCTCGCTCCGCGTCCTCAAGTGCGTATCCTGACCAATTGCGACCAGTCGACCATAACACGGCTCTCCGTCCCCCATTGAGACCCAGCGTCACCTTGGACCGGGTTCCAGCTCGGACAAGCAGTCGAGCTGACATTAACACAGGCCAGGCGCCAGCGGGATACACACCGGTCTCGACTGACATTGGTAGGACACTGCCCGATGGACGTTCCTCCTCTCCAGCTCCAAGCTTGACGGTTCCCAATGGCTCCTTGCGCTCGCAAAGATCTTTTGATGACAGACATCGCCCTGTCACCGCACCGCTGAGGACTAGCGCTTCCACGTTAGGATTAGGACAAAGGTCGCGAAGTGGGTCGCGACCTACATCTCCCGCCCATAAAGCGGACGTGCCCCACGGTGTTGAGAGCGGCACTGATACGGAAGCTGAAGCTGAGGAAGCGATATTCAAACCGGATCCGGACGAGGAACGTCCGCCTATTCCCCCGCCGAAGGAGAATGCGCCTGAAAAACCTAGGTTGGCGAATAGACCGCCAGAGTTGAAGCTTACGACGTCAAGTATTGCACCTCAGCTTTCGGAACCTCTGAATATCGAGACCGCAGATAGCTCGGACGACATGTCACGCGAGTCCTCTCCCGTTGAGCAGACATCGCATTCGACGTATATTGCCCCCGCACTTCCGCCTATCAGATTCTCCCTTGGTGCTGCAGACTTTTCTGAATTGCTAAAGTCTGTCAATACGCAAACGTTGAAGTCGCTAGGGGAGGAGGACAACGAGACTGAGAAGACGCACAAGAAGAACGGTAGTGCTAGTAATGTGCAGGCTTCTACTCCGACTAGTGAGAATACGGTCGTAGACTCTTCCGAGGATGCGACGCCAATGAAGAGGCGGGATGCTCCTCGAAGTTCGTCTCGGGAACGCACGCCCTCGCCATTGTCGGCAACATCCTCACAAGATCACTCCTCGTGGCTTTCCCACTCTACAGGTGAATCCTCACGACGCAACGCAGACGGTCAAACCCGCGGTTCACTCGATGTTCCCCCGCAACCCCAAAGACAACGTTCGAGCTCTCTATCTAAGACCGACCAGCAGAATGGCGTCAAGACGCACAGCAGGGAAAAGACCGAGACGCTAGTCCCTAGCCATCGCATCACACTCACTCCTCCGGACCAAGGTTCGAAAGTAGATGCCTCCGAACTGGTTAGACGCCGTTTGCAAGAGGCCGTTTCGGATGCTGCCTCGCGAGGGTCTGAGCATGTCAAGTTGAACATGGAGTTTGTTACTGCCATCTTGTCATTGCTTGATCAGCGCACTGAGGAAATCAACGATATGAGACGGAGGTTGGATGGTATGAAGGTGCGCTGCATTTGCTTTACCCTGATACATTATGGAATGGACATTGACGAGATTCGCAGCGCACGAGTCAACAATATATGAACGGCCTGTCAGTGGCTCAAACAGAGTACGACAAGGAGTTGCGTGCGAGGCGAGACGCGGAGGCGGAGGTCACTCGATTGCGAGTCCTCTTGTCCGGTCAAGCTGTCAAGCTCACAGCCATCTCCGGTGAGGCGAGACGACAAGAAGCACAAAAGGCATTGTCGCGAGAGCTCAGTGATAATCTCTCATCTCTCGAACGTGACCTGTCCAAACTGAGGACCGAACGCGATATGACCCTGGCGGAGATCGAGGAGCTTTCTGCTACCAAGGAGTGAGTCGGGATGTCCTGTGCGTTGATGGACAGTGTATTGACGTTGATTTAGCTCTGCCTCGAGTATCATTGATGGAGGCGAAACCGATGCAACGGCCAAACTTGGACGTGCACTGTCGATGCGGTTCGACAATATCAAGAACCAGTACGAGCACGAACTGCTTCCTCTGACTCAACGTCGCGAGAACCTTATCCGGGAGATCGAAGAACTCAAGGCTTCAAGAGATGCATTCCTCGAAGAAACCACAATGCTGAATGCTCGAAATGAAGAACTCGCACAACTGAACGCACAATACCTTCGGCGCATGGACGCTTCTGGTGTCGACGTACCTGCTCATCTGGTACAACAACCAACGGTATCAGGACGCACGAGCGAATCGAACAGCTCGCAAGGTCACGAGGTCGTGCAGAACGCCACCCTCGCATCATCCGCAACTTCCTATACCGTCGCCTTCTCCGAGGAATCGTCCAATGGCGATGGCGCGTTTGCAAAGATCAGTAAACCGGAACTTGTTCCTCAGGAAGCGCATACGCCTATGCTCAAACCTAGAACGCTGAAATGGCCTGGGTCCAAGACTTCTCAGAAGGAGCAGCCTGTCGTTCTGGAGAATGCTCAGAATAATCAGCAGAGGGCGAAAGCTAGGGTGGATCATCAGTTCCAGAATGTGGCTGTATTCCGTGTGGCTAGGTGTGATCACTGTGGAGACAAGATGTGGGGGTCACAATTGCGTTGTTCGAGTAAGTCTTCTATGCCTGATGATAGTCTCGAATTCACTTGGCTGACCACGGTGAACCGATAGGTTGTAATATTGCGGTTCACACTCGATGCATGCCTCACATTCACTTGTCTTGCTCTCAGCATCATTCGGGTCCCACCCGCGAGGACACTTCGACTCCTCCGCTTGCCAATGGTCAATCCATGTTTGGCCGAGACCTCATTGAGCAAGTGCACGCGGATGCGATGAAGGATGACGAGAACCGCGTCATCCCTGTGATCGTGGAGAAATGCATCGATGCAGTTGACCTTCTGGGTATGTTTCTCCTTGGTTGCATGTATGATACACATCCTCACATGCGCTTTGTAGGTCTGGAATATGAAGGCATCTATCGTAAGACTGGTGGTTCTAAACTCTCCAAAGTCATCACCCAGCTCTTCGAGCGCGGCGACTACGCTTCCTTCGACCTCCGAGACACCGAGAGGTTCAACGACATCAACAGCATCACATCCGTGCTCAAGACGTATTTCAGGGCGTTGCCGGACCCTCTGTTGACGTTTGCGCTACATGACAAGTTCATTGCCGCTGCGAATTGCAAGGACCCGGCCATGAAGAACTCGATGCTTTCCGAGTTGATCAATCAACTCCCGAGGGAACATTATCATACGACGAAAGCGTTGATGCTGCATTTGCACCGAGTATGCCAGAAGAGCGAGACTAACTTGATGCATGCTCGCAACCTCGGTGTAGTGTTTGGACGTACGTGCT